GCCCCCCCCCCAGCTGTGCCACACGGGATACGGGACCGTGGGGACGGCAGGGAGCGTGGGGCTGGCAGCTCCCCGTCCATCCCCGCACCCCCGGAGCCACCTGGCTTCACCCCCCCGGGGTGGGACGGTGGCGCCCTGGGCTTTTGAGAAATCCAGGCTTTTCTCTGGCACCCTCAGTTTCTAGCTGGGATGTGAGATAAATGCAGCATCCAGCCTGTCCTTGGCTTTTCCTTTCCCTTCTCAGGTTTGGGAGCCGTGTGTCGGGTGCGGAGCCCCTGCCCCGCTGCAAACCCTCATCTCCCCGTGGCATCGCTCCCCCCCGGCCTCCGTCCCTTCGCCCTCACCCGTTGCGGGGCTGCCTCCCCGCTTGGCACCCGCGCGCGGCGCTGGGAGTGCTGCCGGGGTTTAGGGCTTATCTCCCATCTCGCCTTCGCAGGGAGCTGAGTCACTGGTGGTTACCCCAGGTGCACGTCCGTGTGTGTGTCCCCCCCTCCTCCCAGCCCCTCAGTCCTGCCCCTCCCGGCGCTGCAGGTTTGTGGGGGGCTGCAGAGTTTGGCCCCGCTGCCTGGAGGCGGCTGAAGGAGGCCGAGTACAAGGCAGCGAAGCCTTCAGGGACGTGTTTTGTCTGCGGCGAGCAGAGTCTCCTCTCCGGGAGCCCCATCGCTCCCCAAGGCCGTGGTTTGTTGCCTCTTGCTCAAAACAAGACTCTGCTTAAACACGAGAGCTGCAGATCCTGGGTTGCCAGCTCCGTGTCTGGAAGTTCGCTCCTGCGGTGCAATTTCAGGTTTAGAAATACCCACCTGACTTTCAGTTTGGTCCCCAACTCATCTCTGTTTTTAAGACCTTCCTTCCTCCCCCCCCACCCCAGCACATAAGGGAAGGGGCTGGCGACCTCCTTGGTGATTTCCAAGGGAGAACAGGGACCTCGCTGAGGCTTCACCTGTGTGATGGGCTCCTCAGGGCTGTTGGTGACCGATTTAGCAAGTCGCAGCCCATCGCTTGGATCTCTGCAGCGGTGCGTGGGTTTAGCAAATCCTGCCTCAGCCTCTGTGGGCAGGTGATGCTTAGCCCAGGGTAAGGTTATTGCCATGCCTGGGGCAGCACTGAGCCCCCCCCTGTGCCCGGCTGGGGCTGATGCTCAGGATCCTCTTGGTTATGGGGCGCTCACAATTAAGCTGAGGAGCTGATGGATATTAAAGGATCGCTGCTATTTGCTGTGGCTCGTGGAAGAAATGTTGGGGGTTTGTGTTTGCTGCCGTGGAGAGATACGGAGGTACGATGATGTCTCCCACGTGAACACCTCGCGGTCGGTGTGTGGCTGAAGTTGCTGTCACCTCCCCTGACAGCCGGGTCTCTGCCCCATCTCCTTCCCCCAGCGCCTCGTGAAAGCCGTGGCAGCGCTGGGAGCTCCCAGCTGCTTGGGGCTGGGAGTCCAGCAGTAGCTAAACCAACACCCTGCTCATACATAAACCCTCCCTCGGGGCTTGACAGGGCTATCCTTGTGCGTTTGAGAATCCAAGAGCCTCTTCGTTGTCCCTCTAGAGCTCCCGGAGAACTGGACCGATACGCGTGAGACGCTGCTGGAGGGGATGCTCTTCAGCCTCAAGTACATGGGCATGACGCTGGTGGAGCAGCCCAAGGGAGAGGAGCTCTCTGCGGCCGCCGTCAAAAGGATCGTCGCCACCGTGAGTGTCCGTGCTGGAGCAGAGCCCTGTCTCCTGCTGTTCAAACACGTCTGTCACTGGGGAGAGTTTCCAAAGCCGCAGGTCTGGAGGCGGTGCTGTCGGTCTGCAGGCTGGGGGGGGGCGGCAGGATTGCAGCTCCAGCCCTTCCAGGGGCGAGCAGGCATCGGGCGGTGTAGGTAGAAATGCAGACGGCGGCGCTGGGAAGCCCTTGGGGGCAGCCCCGCGCGTGGGGCGGGCTGTGGAAGCTGCTGTTAGTGTCTGAGCTCTGGCTCCCCTTGATAAGCTTGGGTGACCCTGGGTGTGGAAGAACCCTCTGACCTGGTGAAATCAGCCTTCCCCAGGGCTGACTCTCCTCTTGCAAGGCGGGGACAGCGTTTTGAGTGCAACCAGCACGTGACTGAGAGCTGGCCTGCAGTTCTGGGTTTTTCTTCCCAGGATTTGGAGGGTTAAGAGGAGAAAGGAGCATGACAGCTTGTTCCGATTCCCAGCCAATACAGCTGCTGTCCTGCTGTAACCTCTGATGCAAGAGGGACCAATTTTCAGCCATCTTCTGGCACCAAGTCTCCCTGGAGCCCCTGCTCACTGGGCTCCAAGTAAAATTAACGCTTCTTTAAGCCCTTATAAAACTGAATGAAGCAAAGACCCAATTGTACAGTTAGCCCTCGTAAAACTCAATGGGGTGGCGAACTGTGCTGGGTAATGATGGATCCTTTCCTGGCATGCGCTGAGCTGGACGGGAGGGAAACGCTCGCATGAAACGGGAGCCGCTGGCAGAGCCCTTCACGTCTGTTCTGGTCGACCGAAACGGAGCCTTTAAATAAAAGCCCTGGGGCCAAGGCCAGCCTTGGAGGGGCAGGACCGACCGCCAGCCCATCTGGACATGGCTCAAGTGACGTCTCCAAGGAGCAAGGCTGAGGACTAGCTAGCTCTGGTTTTTTTTGGTTTTGTTTTTTTTTTTTTGGAGAGAGGCTGGGTAGTGAGCTGAACATAACCTGTAGGCCAAAAGTACGAGACTAGTAAATAAGAGAAAGTGGCACTTAAAAGTCTAGTTACTTTTTAAGCCGGCGTCCTGCCCTCAGCACAGGGGATGCTTTGCCGCTCAAGCGAGGTTTGGCAGCACAACTTGAAGCCACCTGCTCGGGAGCCCACGTCTTGCAGGACCATCCTGCTCCCAGCACGGCTCCCTTGTTCATCCTGGGCTCACCCTCTGCTCCAGAGCTGGCCCTGAAGATAAAACTCAGAAAACTCTGGCACTCACGTGGCTCGGCCAGAGCAGCTGAGGCTTTGTGCGGATGGACACGGGGAAATCCTCCTGCATGTGCTGGGCTGGAAGCACCTCTGCACAGTGTGGGGTGGAGGGTTGTGTCCTTGTCTCCTCAGTGCCAGCAAAAATCACTGCTTCGGGGAAGGAAAAGTTTTAATGAGTGCCTTATCACATCTGGTAGTAAATCCGGTCTCTAGTACTAACGAGTGCTATTAATATGCTTATTAGGTAGTGGTATCTGCTCTGCTTACATACCTTTGGATGTGTCAGTGTTAAAAGCCTGTAACTTTCCCTTTCCTCTTTCCCTTCCGAAGGCGAAAGCAAGTGGAAAGAAACTGCAGAAAGTGACTCTGAAAGTCTCGCCCAGAGGGATCGTGTTAAACGACAGCGGAACGAACGAGCTGATCGAGAACGTCTCCATATACAGGTGGGTGACGGGGTGCGCTGCAGCGGGTGCGTGTCCTGAGGCTCCTCGTCTGCTCCTCGCTGGCCATCGCGTCTCGATGGAAAGCAAAGGTGGGGGCAGGAGGGTGGTTGCTAAATTTAAGGTAAATTTACATCTGGTGCAATAAGTGTCCAGCCAGGGGTAAGGAGAGCCGTGACGAGCCTGGAGATGCTGTGTGTGCGGACTGCAGAGCCACAGCCACTCCGCGGCCCCGCGTGGCTTACGGCCTGGTTTTGGCAGTAGAAATGCCAAAGCCTCGGGGATGACGGCACGAGTCGAATACGGAGGATGGTCAGAGCGTGTCCGAGCGGGTGAGGGATGCAAGAGCCGGAGCTGGGGCTGCCCTCCCCTCGCTCGCACCTCTGCTGTGTTTAAATAGCTCTGAGAAAGAGCAGGGCTGGCCCGGCTGTTGACAGCAGCTGGCGTGGGGAGGGCAAGGATGGATTATCCCATACCTGCTCCTCTGGCTTTGATGAGTATTTCTTCCAAAGAGGCTGGAGGCAGGCGCAGGCCTGGTGGAACAGGGCTCAGCTCAGACCCGGCCCTTTCCATCTCCTCCATCCCTTCTCCCTCGACATCCCCCACACTCTGCTTGTGTCCTTCACCTGCTGCTCTGTCCCCCTCTGCTAAAGGCGGGATGGGGAGCACGGGGTCGGGGCGCTCTCTCTAACCAAACCACTAACCCGCTTGCTTTTCTCCGGTTGAAGCTAAGCAGTCACGTACAGCCACCGGTGCTGAGCCCCGGCCCTCCCCAGGAGATAAACCTGCTGCTAAAGAGCAGAGCTGGGCGAAGCGGCCGCGCCAGGATCGGGATCACTGCGCTGGTGTCAAAGCAGGCAGAGCCACGGGGTTTAAGACGCTGCCTTAAATTTTCCCCAGATGCTTTAACAGCCATCGATAAAGCTGTTCCTCCCGGTCAGTGCTCATGTACCAGCGTCCCCTCGATTCGGTTGACTGTGTCAGCACGTCCTGGCTGTTGGTGTGGGGACTGACGCTGCTCCCCGGCGCTGTGGGAGCGGAGGTTACGGCCAGAGCTGGGGTCTGCGTGCATCTCCCCTCTCTGCGAGCGTGCTCCACCGGTGGCGGTCCCAGGACTGTCCTCTAACACTTCTACTGTCTTCTCTTTGGCTTTTCTATTCACCGGGATGATGCTGGCTCTGAGCTCTTGCCCCAGGTCGTGTGCTGGGGCAGGACGGGGTGGCTGCGGCTAAAACACAGCCACTGTCACTGGACGTGCTGCTGCCAGAGGGCTCAGTTGTAAAACTGGCTCGCATCAGAGATGGGTGTTGAGTTATCCCTTCCCTGGAAATTAATTGCCATCGAATATCGAGCTGAGCGCTGGGGGTCGCTGGAAGGGCCACGTGCCTGTGCAAAGACCTTCTGAGGCCTTGTCACGATGATTAAAAGAGCGGCCACGCTGGTTTGGGAGAGCTGGGAGGAAGGAGTGAACTTCCAAGTGCCTCTTTAATCCAGAGCACAGCTCGGCTCTGGGAAACAAAACACAGGCCATTGAGCAGAGGCATCCTCACACGCAATGAGAAACTAATGCAGTGTAAATAAATTTTGAATGTGCCTTTTTTTAAGTCCCAGCATTTGCTGGGAACTGGGACCTTCCAGTCCCCTCCCTGCGGACTCCGCGGGGCAGCGAGAACCGGAGCTGAAGGGGTGACGTGGGGCCAGGGGGAAACTTTCACCAAAGCGTCCCGCTTTTTCCTTGGGTTTTCTCTTTCCTTAACACTTGTTTGATCTGTCACGTGCCCAGGGAAGAGGCTTTGCGCGCTGCTAGGGCCTGCTGCCTTGCACTAAACCTCCGGGGCTGCTCCGCTCTGTGCTCGCTGGCTTCAGATGAGACGCTCAGTCCCGCAGCTCCGGGCATGGACGGACCCGTGGGAGGTGGCAGGAGCTGATGCTGCGGGACCCGCCGCCCTGTCACGGCCTGATCTCCCCACACAGGTCAGCCTGTTGCTTTTCCAAAGCTTTCTTTGGTATTTTGGAGCCAGGCCTGCCCTGCCCAGGGGCTGGGAGAGACGTGGCCCTGCTGGGGATGCTCCACTGAGGAGGCTGAGCCTCCTTCCCCGTGTCCCCTGTGCTCGGGGGGTCTCGGAACATCTGCTACTGCGGATCTCAGAGCCTGAACTTCAGCCTTTCCAACAGCTTTTCTTAGGCACCCCTGCATCAATTTCTTTCCCTGGTTTGAGCCTCAAGATTAAATCGTAGGCTGAGAACAAGTCCTTCTCTCTCCTTGCAAGCTTATCCTCCAAGAAAAATCTTCCAAGTCTCTCTTCTGAAGGCAGAGCGTTTGTCAGGCATGGTCCCCGGCTGGCACACTGCAGTCTTTACCTTCTCTAACCTGTCCTGTCCTGCAAGGTGAAACATTTTCTCTTCTCTCCTGCCTGTGTGTGTGATGCACCTGGTTCACACCGTGGCTGCAGGAGTCCCTCTGGGCTTCTCTTACGCTCAAGCCAGTGGCATCGACTCCTCTGCCTTGGGCAGGAGCTGCACTGAAGCCTGGTAACGCTCCTGTGCTCCCTCTGCCTTCCCTGCTCGGCCCCAGAGCTGCAGCCCTGGGGTAGGCGCTTGCTGCCAGGTCAGAGGAGGGGTTGGTTGATCTCCTTTGTGTGCAGTGCCCCGGACAAGACGTTTCGTTCTGTCTTTCAGGATATCCTACTGCACGGCAGACAAGATCCACGATAAAGTGTTTGCCTACATTGCCCAGAACCAGCTCAATGAGAACCTGGAGTGCCATGCCTTCCTCTGTACCAAACGGAAAATGGTCAGTCCAGAGGAAGAAATGGGGATGTGGCTGTAGGAGGAGGAAGCAGAGAGGGGCTGTGCTGGTGAGATAACGGCTCTGCCCCTAATTAGAGCAAGGGGGGGCCCTGCCCCAGCAAACGGCCACGGGAGAGCACCCACCCTCGTGCTGCCCTCACCGCTGGCCCACAGGCTCTCCATCCTGGCACTACCTGGCCACCGCTCGCTCGCGTGCGGGCGTAACTCCGGGCTGCATCCAGCCCATCACCTCAGTGCGGGTAAAAGCCGTTCTGCCCCAAGGTGTGGGGCAGGGCTGAGAGGACCTGGCCCTGCACCTGAAACCCCCCTGCCCGGCTGCAGCCCCAGCTGCTGGGACTCTTCCCAGCTCAGCAGCCACTTGCCCAGGCTGCCGGAGCGCTGCCGGAGCCCGGCCGAGCCCGGCGTGCGGGGAGGTCTCGGGGGAGGCTGGCAGCGAGGTGCCCAGGGGTGGCCTCGTTGATGGGAGGCATTTAGCCAGCGGTTCTGGGCTCGCCGCCCTGGCTTCCCTCCATTTCTTCCCATTGAAGCTCCTTATCCAATTTTTAGCGGCGTCTTTGCGGCCGAGGCCGTATTCTCCCCACAGAGACCCTGCTGGGTGCCGAGGATGGGGCTTGGAGCAGAAACCTGCCTATAGAAAACAGCCTCTGGCTCTTGCTTTGAACCTGCTCGTGAGATTTTTTTTCCTGCTGATTCAGTGCATCGGGCTGGGCAGGGAACCAGCCCTGACGAGCTGGCGAGGGGGAGAACTGGGTCACTGGGCACCAGCTGCAAGTGGGGCAAGGAGAGCCCTGGGGGTCTCCCCGGTGGAACCAGAGCTGGGGCTGAGCCCCCTCCCTGGGCAGGAAGGGGCTTTAGGGGAGAGGTGTAAGGCAGGTCAGATCCCTCTGCCCCCAGGAATCCTTCCCCTGGTGCCTGTCGCAGGGAAATGAACCTCCCGAGAGCTGTTCCCACCCAGTGCATCCCGGCGTGGTGATTCCTGGGTCCTTACGGGCATCCCTGTGCCCAGAGCGTGGCCACTGCAGCTTTGTTAATATTCCACGCTTCTCCCAATGCTTTTTTTTTTTTTTTTCCCTTCCTGGGGAGAGAATAATGGAAGCTACAAGTTGTCTCTCCTTTCTTCCGTGTGCGCTCCCATCCTTGCACAGTGAAGATAAGCCTCGCTCTGCAAATTAAAATTTAAATCTCGCCAGTGCTAAAAGAATTATCTCAGTGGTACATCAGCTCAGTGCGTCTCCCTCAAATAAAGTTCTCCAAGGCCTTTTGTGGCAAAAACGAGAATTTTTTTTTTTTTCCCTTGTCTATAAAATGCATGAATGACATGCGGGTAAGGTGATGCCCTGCTCCCAGACAAGGGTCTGTCCCTGTCCCAGGGCAGGGTCCCTGAGCGTACTCACAGCTACCAGTCATGGACATATAATTAGTCCGTATTTTTAGTTCATGGGTAATTCTCAACGGTAGCTGGGTCTATTAAACTTGATTCAGATGTGACAGCTTAAATTGTAAACAGCTGTGAGGAGTTTCATACTTAATTACCATATTTAAGTTTTTTGCCATAAAGCGTTTGCACTTCCATCAAAGATGTAAATAGCTCCGACGTTCAGATGAGCTCTCCTGCTTTGCGAGGCTTAATTGGCACCCGCAGGTTTGCTGGGTCTCCCCGTCCCTCCTGCGCAGGAGCGCCCGGTTTTTGGGGGACACCCGTGCTCCCCCCGCGTCTCCGTGCTCCGAGCTACCAGGGGCTGCGGGTTACGGCCCCGGATCTGGGTTTGTTTAGTTTGCAACTTCATAAAACAAACTCACGCCTCGAGGCTCCTGCGGCGCGCCAGCCTTGCGGAGTGTTACTCGTTATCTCCTTGCACTTAAACTGCTCGTGAGCTCTGCCTTCTCCTAATGAAACTGGCATTTATGTCACTATTTATACATCTCCAGCAACTCAGGCTATTTAAGGTGATGGTTTTTTTTCATGCTGCTCAAACTTTCGGCTTGGGGAGGAACGGGGGGGGCTGAAGGGGAAGGTCGCTGCTCCTGCTGCGGCCGTGGCTGTTGGTTGAAGCCAGCGAGACCCCAGCTTCGCTCGGGGGAGCCAGGGGAGGACCCTGGGGTCTCTTGTCCTGCCTCTAAGATTTCTCCCCGTCGGACAGAGCTGCAAATTCGTGGCGTTTGACCCCGTTGCTCTCAGGTTCCCTGTGCGTGCGGTCGGGCGTGGTGCGGGGCTCTGGGCATCCCTCCCCAGCACTGCTGTGGCCGACGGCAGCGTGGGCCGGGGCTCGATTCCCTTTGAGGTGTTGGTGGTTGTGGTGGGTGATGCTCTGTGGCGGGTGCAGCCCAGCCCAGCCCTGGGCAACGGGGAGCGCCGTCCCCCAGGGAGCTGCGAGGACGAGCCGGGGCCGTGGGACACTTGTGTTGTTTAGATGATGCTGAGGTGTGGGGTGCGGGAAGAGCTGCACGTGCCCCGTGGCCAGGAGCAGCTCTTCCCTCCCCATCCGTCAGCACGGTGCCTGTGACAGCCGCGTCCCTGCCGCCTCCATCTTCCCATGACACCTAAAGACGTGTCTACAACGAGCTGCGTGTCCTACACAGAGCAAGTCTCTGCTTCCATCAATATTTGATCACCCCTCCCCAGCCAGGCGGGGAGCGTGCTGAGCAGAGGACTGCTTGGATCCAGGTTAACATGAATCTGCAAAGCAAAACCTCCAAGTGATTTAAATCTGCATGAGGACCCGGTGATTAACGTGCTGCCTCACCGCTGTCTTTCCAGGCACAAGCAGTCACCCTCACTGTAGCCCAGGCCTTCAAAATCGCATTTGAGTTCTGGCAAGCAGCTAAGGAAGGTGAGGTTTTTTTTTTTCCTCTCTTCCCACTCTTCGTGTGAAAATTCAAGGGATGACTTTAGGGTTTTCCCAGCTTTCCAGTGCCTTTTGCCCTCGCCCTCCGAATTTCCAGGCTGCTGTTAAGGTTGGTCCAACCTCGGGTGTGATTTAAGGCATCTTTGAGGTTTCTCTTGACAGCCTTTGTAAATCCAGCCACATTCTGGCTGCGCTTCTTTCTTGCAGGCGGGGTGTGGAGGACCTGGTGCTTGTGATACCTCAGAGCCCTGCTGCTGTCAGGATTTTTGCTTTCACCTTTCACGAGATTATAAAACTTACCTAGAGCCTGGGCTGCTGTGGGCAGAGGAGACCTGGTGGCCCATCCTAGCTGTCCCCCCCCGTCCTTCCTCCCTAAAAGCTTGCAGGGAAGTGCTCTGCAGGCAGTGACAAGGTCTCTTTTTTTTTTTTTTTCAGAGAAGGAAAAGCGGGAAAGATCCATCTTGGAAGGAGAAGGGACAAGCAGCCCCAGCTCAGAAGCCCCTGCCCACCCCGACGCATGTAAGTCACCAACAGCAGAGCTTTGGTTTGAGCTCAGGGATGGGGAACAGCTGGAGGTTTGAGGGGTTTTCCCTGAATGGGGCAGGCTCCCCGATGGGCTTTGAAGACCAGTAAGGAGCAAACACTTGTCACAGTGGAGATGTTGCCCTCAGCAGAGTGTTTGGGACACAGTGGCCGCCTGCCAAGTCCTTTCATCTCCCCCTTAAATATCTCCTACAGCCCCTCATACACAGCTGCTGCCACCCCAAATCTGTTTACTTCTGCCCCAGGCAAATGGGCCGTAATGTCTTTATGAGCTTAGCGCGGACTCCCACATGCCAAGTTTGATTCTGGGTTTGTCTCAGACCCGAAACACTTGCCATCCCATTGGCTGAAGGAGATGGACATCCAGGTGCCGCTCTGCCTCCGGCTTCCCTAAGGAAGGAGACATGCGTGAAAATAAAACAATGAAATAGTAAACCCCCTCATAATTCAGTGCCTGGCTGTGGGTCCTCTCCTGCCTCTGAAACACGAGATGCATAGGCCGGGAGAAGTGGGACAAAAGGCTAATCTCTCTGCCATGCTGGCCACGGAGATAAGAGGATTTGGCACAGAGGAAAATAGCATTAAACTGGGCTTCCTTCCAGCCTGCCACGTCTCGTTTCTTCATGTGAAGGCCCAGGACTGGAGGAATCTGTCACAAATGGTGGCACACTGGGATAAGTGAGGCCCGGGGCTGCCGTGGGTGTAGGAATGGGCTCTGGCATCGATGCTCCACAGCTGGGGCACTTCTGCATCTGCCCTCACTGCAGGGTGACGGGGAGGACTTGAGGCTTCCCTGAAACAACCCAGCCTGCGGTGTACCGGCAGCCCTCAAGCTATAAACTGTTCTTCACCCAGTGCAGGGTTTGCCCTCGGTCCTATAAAATGATGATGTGTCTTTGTAAAGTGCTAAATCGATGCATGGGCTGAGCTGAGGCTGTCGCCCAGGGTCTGTTTGTGCCCTGGGCTTGGGATGTTCTGTCAGCTTTGCCTGGGGCTGATCCTGACTCACCCTGACCGTAGGCAGGTACCCAGGAGCCTCCCCTGATGGCTGCTGGAGGGACCAGCCGGCTGATCCTCCCCTGTGTTCCTGATCCCTGTCGAGGGGGACTGGGATGCCTGATCTGAGCATCCCAAATTATTCAGGCTGAAACCACACCCCCCTCTGGGGTGAATGCATCTTCTCTGTGCTGAAATTGGGGGGCATCCTGAAGGAATTTGATTCCCCTCTTGAGGGGAAGTGATTACTGCAGAAAGGCTCAGTCTCGTGTTATCTCTGTTCTCCCCTCCCCTGCCTCATTCCCTCTCTGCTCTGTTCACAGCAGCAGCCACGGGGAACTTGCTGGATTTAGAAGATCCTGCCAAATCGCCCCTGACCAGCAGCGCAAACTCCCCACACTTAGATAACAGCATGTTTGGGCCCAGCTCCTCTGTAAATAACAACGTGGTGTGGGTAAGTGCGCGCCCGGGTCACCGCCGCACCTGCCGAGCCGGGGGGGATGCGATGTCACCTCCATTTCATGTGTTCCAGACCCCTTCACGGGCCTTTCTCTTGGCTAAACCCCCTGCCCGGGAGCTCTGGGGTGGCTGAGCCCTTCAGGCAGGGTTTCAGAGATGCCAAGCAAGCTGGATTTTGGTGTCCTACTCAGAATGATCGATCAGTGTTCAAGTACCCACTGCCCTTTTTAGTCTCTGTAAATAAAAACGAGATTGCAAGGCACTCTGAGAAACGCCGCTGTCAGATAATTGAATATTACTTATTCTTGAGCAGCATTTCTCAGTGGTTTGTCACTTAATTGAGAGACCACCTAACTGCTCTGTTCGGGGGAAAAAATCATTATGTTGATGGCTTTTGTTTACTGTTCACTAAAACAGGTTATATTTATGTTCGTTATTACTCTTATTTTTCCCTTGTTCTTGTTTGCGGCTCTATCTGGATTGTATGAGCACGGGTGGCTTCTCTAAAATGCCTTCAGTCCTCTGGGTTAATTGTTTCGTGGCCCATTAATAGAAAAATAACAACCCAGTCCATGTGCCTGGGTGTGCACCCCTCAGGGAGCCTCCTCCATGCCCAAGTGCTCCATCACCGACTGGGCTGGGGCTGATCTTTTGAAGCCCCACTTGACCCAGGACCTCCCCGCCACCGTTTTTTTGGAGAATTGAAGGATAAAGACCTTTGCCTGGAGCCTATTTCTTGAGCCTGCTGGGTCTGAGCCTGCAGCTTTTCAGGTTAAACCTGAAGATCAGCTCTAAGTCATATCAAATCCTGGAGGCTTATCAGCGGTCTCCAATCCCTCCCTTCTTGCAGAGTTTTCATACTTTCCATATTACATTAAGTCTGTAAGTGCATCACAGGATTTTGGGAATAGTCAACTCTGTCCATAGCAAAGCTCGTCCAGAGCCCATCCTCCTGCATGGGAAACCTTCCACCTCCAGGCAACTCAGATGCTTTCCCTGGGAAACCTGAAGATCAGAGATAAAGGATCACAGAGATCTCAGGTCCCCCCTCTGCAGAGTTGCTTTCTGGTTCCTGATCCAGAAAAGCCCCGAGGGATGCCCGGAGCATCTTGCCGAGCTCTGTCCAGGTCCCTCCTCTTAGCAGGTACCCACAGCAAGTTCCACGGGAGAGCTGGAAGAGCCAGGGGCTGTGGTTAACCCCAGAGCAGGACGTGGGCCAGCCGATGGGCCACTTCCAGCCCACGCAGGCCACCGGGGCAGACGGGAAACGGCCAAGCCCCTGCCCCGTCCCTGGGCTGCGAGGGGAGTGCGGCATCCCCGAGCCTGGAATCTGCTCGTAGGAAGCCAGGACCACCCGGAGTTATGCCTGATACCCTGGGCTTGTGCAGAGAGAGATAAAACCCGCCCGAGGAGGCAGATTGCCAAGAGGAGCGCTGCTTTAGGCACTCGGAAGTCAATACGTATATATATTTTTTGTCTGCCATGCTCAAGTGTGGAGCCAGATCTCTAAATACACTTTTGTGCGTTCTCTTAGCAACTACTTCTCTCTCTTTTTATCTCTTTAACAAAGGAAATGGATGATGGTCTCGACGAGGCATTTTCAAGGTAATTCTAATAACTCCCTTTACAAGTTCATGCCACCAGGGACCAGCCCTGGAGACTTGACTAGTGACTGGCTTTTAATAAAGCTTCTAATCTAATCAGCCGCTGTGATCTGACCTAGGCAGCTGCCCCATCAGTGCCTCAGCTGTTAATTGAAAGATAGGCTTTGAGGCTGGCTGATAAGCCAAATATTTTGACAACCTTTTAAGGATGGAGAGAAGCTGTATGTGATAGGGAATTTAATTCCCTAAGCAGTTGGTGTGTCCGCTCCTGCTTGCCGGGGTGGTTTGAGGCTGCCTGTTCCCAGATCCCGCGTTAGCTGTGGTGATGCTGGTCCCAGCTTCTTGGCACGGGGGACTCTGCCCTTCCTCGCCCCTCTGTGGGGTTTGGACTAACCCTGGGATATTATTCCCGTCTGTCCCCAAACCAAGAGCAACTGCTGAGGGAGCCTCCCTGCTCCACTGGTCCTTGTTGCAGTGCGATTGCATCAGGGTGACTCTGATGCACCAATTTTGAATTCCTGCACCTGAGCACTTGTGGAGTTTGGAGCTTCACGTGGCTTAGGTCACTTCCCAATCCAAATTGAGAGCTTCCCTGCGCGTGCATGCCAAGCAGTCCAGCAATGTTAAACAAATCCGTTTTCTTTCAGGGGAGTTTTCCTGCCTGTCCTCGTGCAGTCAGGTCCCCGCGGGGTGATGGGGATGCTTTAGCTGGCGTGGGTCCCCTCCTCCAGATCAGGGCATGAAGCCACCCGGCCACTGTTTGGGCTGCGGAGGCCCCAGTTTGAGCTGCCAGGCCTCCTCCTCCTCCTCCAGCGGGGAGGTGCTGAGAGATGGAGTCAGGCAATGGCAGGGCTGAGCCCGGCGCCGTCACCTCCCCGAGAGCCGCTCGCCTCTGCCGGGGTTTGCAGCAGTGCAAAAAAAACGCTCAAGCCCTAAGGAAACAGCCCTTCGTGTCTTGTTTGGCACTCGGGAGTAATTTACAGCTTCTGCTTGCATGGTAGCCCTGTCCCAGGTTGTGTTTGATAAAGGGGCTGCTTGAATTTATGTCTTAATGTCATCTAACTTCCTCACCTCTGCTCCTTGCCCTACTTAATTAAGCAGATGTTGGTGGTGGTGGTTTTTTGTTTTGCATTGCTGGATGCCAAGCTGTCGCATCACCCTTGGCCTCCTGGTGACTCAGTATTTGGACTGCTCATCCGCCCAGGCAGATGCTTCCGAAAGCGTTCCTGCCACATCATCATCGCTGGACACTTCTTGATTAAAAAAAAAGTGTGCATGGCTAGTTTAATCTGAGGCTGATTCGACATCTTAGCAACCGTGCCTCCCCTGGATGAAACACCAAATATTTGAGTTAACCTTTGGCCCTCAGAGAATTGATGCTGCAGTGTTGCATTTTCACAGGAGTATTTGATAACACCGCAACAAACTGGGGCTTGTTAGGTTTTGCGAAACGTCTGGGATGTGCTGAGGTGAAGGTCTCTTAAAGCTGATCCTGCGGGCTGTTAACCATCATCTGAATCCTCCCGTGTCCTAACCCAAAGAGTTAAATGCTGGGGTCGGGGAGCACGGCGGGCAGGAGCTGCAGCACACGCTGCGTGTCCAGGCACACCACCACGAAAACTGAGTCACTGCAATGAGGCTGCTCCTTTGGTCAGCAGAGCCTTTGTGCTGAGATAAGAGCCCAGCTATCGATGCACCCGCCAGCGCTAGCTCAGGTGAGGAAAATGGCACCATTCTGCCAGATCATTAATACACGGGATGTCCAGACTACAAATTCCCTGGATGCCTGTAGGGGAGACGTTAGGATAAACCAGCAGCGAAACTGCAACAAACTTGAGAGCGCTGCAGATGTTACAGCCAGCTCTCCTCTTCCTGAATTATTTCATTCTGTTGGAGGATTTTGAAATGTAGAGCTGCAGCTAGGGTTCGGCATTACGGATGCATCGAGCATCCAGGCTATAAACCGCACGGATTTGTGTTCTTACTTTCTGTTTTTTTTTTTTCTCCTCTTAGACTGGCTCAGTCGAGAACAAACCCTCACGTCCTCGACACGGGACTGACGGCTCAAGACATCCAGAGTGCAGAAACGCTCTCACCTGTAGACTGGAACAAAATAGATTCCAACACAGGCGAGAAAGATGATCTGTTCATGTTTTGAGGTCAAAGGCATCTAAGAGCTGACAAGAGAATAACCACTAAAAGTCTGTGGAGTGAATCATGCTGTTCCAGGTGCTGTACGCAAGGGACTCTTCTGAGGGCTCTTCACCAAGTCAAATGATGCTACAGCACAGTTTAGACCAAAGCTTTAGAAATCTAATGCAGATTTTTGTACCTTGCTTTTATCTAAACCACGAGATGCTCTTGAACATATTTATTCATAGCTGTTACAGTTTACAAATATTATTGGAAGGTGTGTAGAGCATCTACAGTATTATGTGGCAATATACCATGGAAGAACCTTCGGCAGTGCCTGTCCCTCTCTGAAAAAAAGACTATGCAACACCAAAGTCTCTCTGTATACACTTTTCTAGACAAAGGTTTGCAGATGCAAATGCAATTGCAAGCACAACTGTTACTAATCCACTGTTTCTTGAACAACACATCACCTGCCTAGGCGGAGAGGAGGAGAATTGCAGCAGCTGCTAACAGTGTTAAAATCAAAGAGGTAGCAGAGATCTTGCTTTTGTTGTGAATGTCTGTGATACTCTCACAGTTGTCAATCACCCCTCTTGTGTTCTGGCTGTCTCTTTGCCAGCTTTGTGTGGGAATTGACACTTTTTTTTTTTTTACCCAAAGACTCTACGAAGTTTTGCACTTTAAAAACTTGAACTGAAAGCAATGGTCCGAGTTGTCAAGGTAAGCAGTGCCTGTAACTTCTCTTCAGAAGCTATTTACCCCAAAAAAAATCCCCAACCCCACAATGCCGCGGGTTTGTTTCAAAACTGACTGCTCACGTGCACCGTTTCTGATGGGACTCGAAATACCGAGGCTCCGTCGCACTGTTGGCTTTAAAATCAAAACCACCAGGGAGCAACAATTTGTTTTGCTAAAGCGTGTTGAAAGTTGCAGGTTGGGTGAACCCAGCAGCAATAGATCTGTGTTCTTAGCTCTGCTAAGTGGATTTGGCTGTGCATGCCTTTTTACTGTCTCGAAACCATTTGGTTGTTGCTCACTCAATAGACTCAAATGGAATTGGATTAGGCAAGACCAATACCTGGATGTTCAATTAGCAAGAGGTGCCCCCTCCAGCAGGACTCCCATCCTCTTCCCCCCCTTCCCCGACAAGCCACATCTCCTGTGAGGCTTGGGGAGCTGTCTTCATCTGCTCCTGGAATTGAAAATAAGTAATGGAGGTATAAAGCTTATGCTAATTAAAAGATTAAGTTTAATGATCCTAAATAGTCACACTGACAGTTTGCAGTGTTTGTGGCCTTATGTGAAGTATACTAATCTGTTTTATAGATTTGTAACTTGGTTTTGAAACACTAATTCATTCCCCAGATAGCTCTTTATAACTCTCTTAAAACTGCTTGCAGGAAAAAAAAAAAAAAGGAAAAAAAAAAAAAAAAAAAAAAGAAAAACCTCTTTGTCAGCTGTAAGAATTTATTAGGAAACAGCTGAGTGACTCTAACTTAGATTTGATTTTTATTTTTTTTTCCCCCTAAGTGTTATTGTGATAAGGTATCGAGGACTTGTGAAGCTGACTCATCATGTCTCTTAATAAAATGTGTGCTCTGTTTATCCTGCAAAATTGTGTTTAAAGTAATTTTATGTCTTGAAACTACTGTGCCCATGACTTACTTGATCTTAACGTGTAGCATCAGTCTCCTGCGATGGAAGGAATTATTCCAGGTTTATCCATGCTACAGAGGCACGTGGTAGAGACACGAACCTACTGCAGAAGTGATCCCAAAACTGTGCGGAGAGGTTGTAGCAAGTGCCTCGTCCCAACCCCGAGAAGCGCTGCTCTTCCCGGGAAAGAGCTCAGGCTGTAGGGATGGGCTGTGAGGATTTCTCTGTACATTGATCTTTCTCCTTTTGTAGAGACTCCAGGAGCATATACTGAAATGCACAATACTATATATGTATGTATATCGTTTTTTAAGAAAAACCTTACGCTGTAAAGAATATCTGTACCGAGGAAAATAAAAGTTCTAACTTTTTTTTTTTTGGAGTCTCCGTGCTGGGTGACTTTATTTTTCCCGTGGTTCTTTCAATGTGTAGAAGCCTTTGTGTTTCTAACCGGTTGAATTCTCCATCTCCCTTGATGCATAGCAGTAAGACTGGAAGCATCCACGGGAGGTTTCTGTCTGTTGAAGGTTGTTTCCAGGGCCACCCAGGTGAGAAGTTGGCTGCAGTTAGACACTAGTCCATGGTGCTGCCTCCAGGAAACACGGGACTGGATGTGGCCGAGAGTAAATCTGTCCCTGCCTGAGCCCCTGTGTCACTGGATTGCCCTCCAGGTAAGGGTGTGACAACAGATGCGAAGACAAGGTTGGTGCTTTGGGCTCTTCTGCAGATAAATGTGGTGCTGGTAACATCAAAACCCAAAATCTCTTAACTGATAAGAGTTTTTGAGTCACTGTGCAAAGTGCTTCTCCCTTGGGGGGGGGGGGTGTGTGTGTTTAATTTGTACAGATGCTTTTTAAAAACAGCCCGGAGAGCCCAGCACAGCCCTGTGTGCTCAGCTTCTCCCGGCAATTCCTGCCTTTGCTGCCTGCGAGCGTGGAGCGACCGGGCTCCCACAGCCACCGGCTAATCGGCTGGGAAGCACACGGAGAAATTCATCTGGGGATGCTGACAAAAAGATTAAACCTGCGTGTACCGCCACGCTCCCTTTGCAGTGTTGGAGCTGGGCTGTGGGCAGAGCAAAGGGGCTTTGCAGAGATGCCTCTGTTCCTATAGCATTAGACTAACCAAAAAAAAAAAAAAATCAATAAAAGTTCATTTTTCTGTTTAAATTGCCTGTTCCAGTGTGGGGAGATGTCCCAGATTATGAGTACTGAGTACCGGCAGTCTGCGCCTTCATGCATAACTGATGGTGATGCTGAGGAACAAATTGATCTTTCAGTTTTGATGTGACCTTTTTTAAGTGCCAGTTAAGAAACTTTCAGCATCTGTTTCCTTCACCTGCGATGGCTGTGAGCTCGGGAGGGAGGGAGGAAGGGGCACACCGTGGTGAGACACGGCTTTGCCACGAAAAGGCAGCTGCCTGCTTGGGGGGCTGCAGCATTTACCGGGAGCTGGGGGAGCTGTGGCTCTGCTCACCCCCGGACCCACATTTCTCCGGGGGGGGATGTGGAGCAGCTCTGCTGCCCGTTTTCCTCCCTTGGAGCAGCCGCAGCAGCAGAGGTGGTGGCGTGGGCTGTGGCGGTGCTGTGAAATGCTGGTCTGTCACCCTGCCTTGGCACGGGGTGTATATAGGATGTAACGACTCCATCCATCCTACAGATGGTAGCCAGCGTGGGCGAGGAAGCTACGCAGAGCCTGTCTTCAATCTCCCTCTTGAAATCACCTAAGAAAAAACACAAAATCACTAAAGAAACAAAACCTGCAGCTAGTGCAAGCCATGTGGTTCAGAGCTGATTTCTTGAACTGCTGGTGTGGTTACTCGTTAAAACTCATTTAGTGGATCCCCCAAAACTGCGACAACAAACCCAGCTTGTTGCTGCCGAGCTGCAGGCTGGGTTTGCACGCAGACGTTAAGTTTATCAAGCGTTGCTGCTCCTTCTCTCTTCAATGAGTGCGATGGTCAGTGGTTAGGTGAGTCAGGGCCAAATCCAGCTCTGAGGTTACAAACTGGCTGACTCAGGGAAGTGCTGAGCTGTTAAGGACGACGGCGGGCAGGTCAGCAGCTACTGAGCTCTGAACTTCTCTCCTTGGAGCACCCAGAGAGTCTGTAAATTTGTGCCAAGCTTGAGTGAGAGCTGTAAGGCTGGCATTACCCAGATCATTCTTTTTTTAAAGTACAAATAAAGAGAGCAACATTTTATCTGAACACCTGAATGCTGTATTATGTCCTTTATAGCCAGCCCCAGGGTGCCAGGAGCTGTGGGCTGCTCTGCAAGGCTTTCTGTGCTCTGAAGCAAGAAGAAATAACCATCCTTGTGGAGAAGCACAAATGCGTTTTGGCTCAGGATGGAGGGGAAACCGGGTGGGAATGGAGGGGGGGGGGTGTTGGTTGAGCACTGCTCTTCTCCACTCTAACGTGTCAGCGTTGCGTGACGGCTGTCTGCAACGGCAACAGCAAACTGCCAGACCCCGATGAGATTCATCCCTGTTGAAGCCAAGGGGAGCTGAACCAGAAAAAAACACCAGGCAAAGGCGATGTTTGCTGAAAGCCTCACCGCCAGCCTTGCTGGGACCCGGGGCAGGGGCTTGCTCAAGAGGAGCTCGCCACGGGTCAGCAACCAGAGCTGAAAGGGTATTTTGCAAGTGTGTCTCTGCCTCTGCTTTTGAACTTCTTCCAGGGTTTGCAGCATTTAATGGCAGGAGACGCTACTGCGGCATTAGCCCAGAGCAGCAACGCAGCGTTAGCAAATGGCTTCTGTCAAAGTTTCCATCGCAGGGAGCTGCGGAGCCGCGTGCCGGCGCGGCCACCCTCGGTCCGCGCGAACCACGAGGGCTGTGGGGTTATTCTGCCAAATCCCTTCTGTGCGTGAAAGTACTTCTTCCTGGGAAAGCTGTAATTTCAGTGCCAAAAATCCATAAACTTGTCAAAAAGTTGACTATTTAATGCCCCCCCTTCAGAGGAAATCCTGCTGAGCCTCTGGTTCACCTTTCCCTGAAACGTGGCGCCTCAGTGCATCAAGTCGGTGGTAACTTGGGGTTGATGGTCTCCGTGTTGTGCCCCTGCTCTGTTGCACAATAAAATCTCCCGGAGCGGCTCCTTCTGCAGAGGCAGCACAAGCCCCATCGGACACCGGGAACTGAGCAAGATGCAACGTGGGCTTGGCAAGACCCTGAAGTTTCCCCCATCTGCAGCACGGAGGGGACCCAGGAGCCCACACCAGCAGCCGCAGGGCCAGAAGCTGATGAAATTACCCGATGCAAACGAGACCCGAGTGAGTGGGGCCTTTGCTGTCAGCCCTTGGCTTGAAAGTCCTTTTAGCAGCAAGGCAGCATCTGAGTGCAAGCAATTTATCAGGAGCGAGTGGA